GGTCCATGTAAATTGCTTATCTGTTCTTGATTTTATTTTGGTAAGTGATGCCTATCCAGAAAATTGTCTATTTCTTTTAAATTTTCAAATTTTGTGGAGTACAGGTTTTCAAAGTATGACCTGAAGTTTCTCTGGATTTCCTCAGTGTCTCTTGTTATGTTCCCCTTTTCATTTCTGATTTTGTTAATTTGCATGTTCTCTCTCTGCCTTTTGGTTAGTTTGTATAAAGGTTTATCTATCTTGTTGATTTTCTTGAAGAACCAGCTCTTTGTTTCCTTGATTCTTTGTTTCGACCTTATTGATTTCAGCCCTCATTTTCATTATCTCCTGATGTCTACTTCTTTGGGGTGAATTTGCTTCTTTTTGTTCTAGAGCTTTCAATCATGCTGTTAATTCTCTAGTGTGCACATTCTCTGGTTTCTTCATGTGGGCATTTAGTGCTATGAACTTTCCTCTTAGTACTGCTTTTAGTGTCCCATAAGTTTGGGTATGTTGTGTCTTCATTTTCATTGAATTCTAGGAAGTCTTAAATTTCTTTCTTTCTTGACCGAGGAATGGTACCATTGGGTGTTATTCAATTTCCATGAGTTTGTAGGTTTTCTGCAATTTGTGTTGTTGTTGAATTCTAACTTTAAAGCATAGTGGTCTGATAAGATACAGGGGGTTATTCCATTTTTTTTTGTATCTGTCAAGGTTTGCTATGTTGCTTAGTATGTGGTCGATTTTAGAGAAGGTTCCATGTGGCGCTGAGAAGAAGGTATATTCTTTTGTTTTTGGATGGAATGTTCTATTGTACCCAATTGGGTCATAACTTCTGTTAGTTCTTTTGTTTCTTTGTTAAGTTTCTGTCTGTTGGTCCTGTCTAGTGGTGAGAATGGGGTGTTGAAGTCTCCCACTATAAGTGTGAGGTTTTATGTGTGATTTCAGTTTTAGTTTCTTTTATGAATGTTGGGGACATAAATGTCCAGAATTGAGAATTCATCCTGTTGGATTTCTCCTGTGATGAGTAGGAAGTTACCTCCATCATCTCTTTTGATTGATTTTAGTTTAAAATCCAATTTGTTGGATATTAGGATTGTTACCCCCACTTGTTTCTTAGGTCCATTTGATTGAAAAATCTTTCCCCAACATTTATTTCTAAGGTACTCTCTGTCTTTGAAGTTGAGGTGTGTTTCTTGTATGCAGCAGAAGAATGGATTCTGTCTTTGTATCCATTCTGTTAGCCTGTGTCTTTTATAGGCAAGTTAAGACTATTAATATTGAGGAAAATTAAGGACCACTGAGTGTTAATTCTTGTTTGTTTTGGATTTCTTGTTGTGGTTGGTATTGTATGTGGATTCCCCTCCCCCTTTTTGGTGTTTGGTAAAGTGGGATTATCTGTTGCCTATGTTTTTGTGAGTGTAGTTAACTTCCTTATTTTGGGGTTTTCCTTCCTGTGCTTTCTGCAGGGCTTGATTAGTGGATATGTATTGTTTAAATTTGGTTTTGGGGTAGAAAATCTTGCTTTCTCCATCTACAGTGATTGAAAGCTTTGCTGGGTATAGTAGTCTGGGCTGGCATCTGTGGTCTCTTAATGTTGGTAGAATCCAGGACCTTCTGGCTTTCAGAGTTTCCATAGAGAAGTCAGGTGTAATTCTGACAGGTTTGCCTTTAAATGTCAGTTGTCCTTTTTCCTTTGCTACTCTTAATATTCTTTCTTTATTCT